AGTAACTACAAGAAAAGAAAAGAAGCAAAACAACACGAACGTTAACTTACCCGACTCCAACGACGATTTCGATTACTTCAAGAGCGACGACTCCAACGATAAATTCAAGTATAGAAGAAAAGGAACGTTAGTAACTACAAGAAAAGAAAAGAAACAAAACAACACGAATGTTAACTTACCCGACTCCAACAACGATTTCGATTACTCCAAGAGTGACGACTCCAACGACAAATTCAAGTCTGGAAGAAGAGGAATGTTAGTAACTACAAGAAGAGAAAAGAAGCAAAACAACACGAACATTAACTTACCTGACTCCAACGATGAATTCAAGTCTGGAAGAAAAGGAACGTTAGTAACTACAAGAAAAGAAAAGAAGCAAAACAACACGAACGTTAACTTACCCGACTCCGACGATTTCAATTATTTCAAAAGCGATGACTCCAACGACAAAATTAAGCTAAAAGAAGTGTTAAGTCAAGAAAGAGTAAAGAAAAAAGTAAAGCAAAATAAAAAAAGAACCAAAAGAAAACAAAAAAGGGGAACAAAAAAGAAACAAAAAAATTAAGATACAAAAAAAAAAAAGAAAAAAAAAATAGAAAACAAGAAAAAGAGGAGATAAAAAACAAAAAAAAAGAAGAAACAAAAAAAGTCAAACGAAAAAAATAAAAAATTACAACTCGTCCGTTGCTGAAATCACCAACCCGCCCGCTTCTGAAATCATAAACTACCCGCTGTAAAATCACCAACCCACCCACTGTTTAAATTAAAGACACTAAGAACGACTAAATTAAACCTAGAAGAAAAAAAGGTAGCAAGTTAGTTCAAATAAAAAAAAAAAGAATAAAAGTAAAAAAAAAAAAAAATCACACCACTTCTAAAATCATGATCTATCAAATCTAACCTACCTGCTGTTTAAACAAAAGATACTATGACCACTAAATTAAATCTAGAAAAAGAAAAAAGCATGTTAGTGCAAATAAGAAACAAAAAAAAAAAAAAATGGACAAAAAAAAAAAAAAAAAAGTGAATAGGAGTTGGCAAAAAAAAAATAAAAATCGCGATCTACTTTAGTACTTATATGATTGTCAATCTTAAATGTAATTGGTTGATCATTAAGTTTATCGCGTAATCACATAGCCGGGTCTGTCACCAGCGGCGACAACTAGATTATTTCTAAATTTAAATATCAAATAACTTGAAATAAATCAAAATATATTAGAATAATTTGAAGTTTATCTATTATTAACTTGATAAATATTTTTAGTATTAAATGATATAATAATAATACAAGAAATTAAACTCAAATCATTTCAAAATAGATCGAAATGATTCAAAATAGATCGAAATAATTCAAAATAGATCGAAATGATTCAAAATAATTAAACTTAATTAAATTAAATAAAAAAAATAACTGATAATTTTTTTATAAAGCAAATAATAATATATTTATTAAATAATAGATATATAAAAAATAAAACAAAAATAAATAAAAAATATATAGAATTAAAAAAAAACTTAAAAAACACCTGATAATATATATATATATTTAAAAAAAAACATAATTTAAAACAATTAAAAAATTTTATTTATTTGTGAAAACCAGTATCATCAGAATGAGGTTGTGATAGCAGAACGATTATAGAAGTAGTTGAGTTATTCGGAATATCTTAGAATATATTGGGATGTTCCAAATTGTCTTGAGAATGTTAAGAATGTGAATCATGTTGGGAGCCAGCATCATCAACTGGTATAGTACTAGTATTTGTACACTTTCCTTTTCTGTCTGTTCGGGTGGGTTTTGTTGCTCTTTTTTTTTCGATCTGTGCTATTTGAAGGTGTATTTTCGGGTTGTTCATCTTCAGTTAAAGATTCTTTACCTTTATTAGCTGGGGGTTTAAATCCATTACCTGATGCTAGCTTATCCTAATTAATTAATTTACATATATTAGTATTATTTTATATATATTAAAATAAAATAAATATATTTAATTATATATTAAATATTTACTTACTATATTTTTATTTAGTCAGTTTTTAGTAATTTTATTGCTCATAGTAAGCTTTTCATAATGTGAATTAAGCAATATCTGGCATACAGTTGCAGTGTATGCCAGTTGTATATTAGTTGGTGTATTAGTTGGCTATGTTCTTACATTAATTCGATCAAAGTATATTTCATCTGAAGTAGCTGCATCAATGGGTCTAAAAAGTTTATTGAAACAGCGTTTTGTTTTGTTAGATTCTTTCCACACCGCTATTGCTTGAGGAGTTGATTTTGAGCTAATTTGATCTAACTCAGACTCTCTAAAAACTAAAAAAACTGCATTTTTTATAGTCAAAGTAATACGACTTCTGTATAATTAATGCTGACTTAGGAGTTAAAATAATTAATAAATTTATGTAAATATTAATAGATTTCGAATTAGTTTGATAATATTAAAATATAGAAAATTATAAATATCAAATTATATAAGTGAAAAAATAAAAACTAAATGAAATAAGAAATAAATAATTTAATTGATAATCCAGTTATAATCGGTACTAATTCATATATATAATTTGGGGTAAAATTTGTCGATCTATTAAGTATTTTTTAAAAGTACAAAAAATCTCGAATTTGACAAGTTCTTTACATATAAATAATTTCACATGATAAGCAATATAATTTTGTGCAAAAAAAGTTATAAATTTATATTTTTTTAAAAAAAGCGATTTGTTACTTTAATAAAAATACTATTTATTATATACAAACGCCAGATTCCAACAAATTTATATATATAATAAATGTTAGATTCCAATATATGCCCTTTATTATATGAAGTAAGTAATATACCTATTTTAATATTTAGAGGTTTCAGATACCTCCAAAGAATGTCTTGCTATATCTTGTTTCTATTTACGACTAAAAGTCGCAATCCAGTTATTAATAGTAGTTACTTTTGGAATATCACTTTGATCAAATTCACCACATTGAGCCCATTTCAATAGTTCATCATGTATTTCTTGACCTGTGAATTTGTTTTTGCTATCTGCTATCCCCATGTGAAACATATTTTCTAATAAATTTCTGATTTGTTCTGTTATTCGTTTCCAAGGCTCTCTCTGATTATTTTTTTCATTTTCAGCAAGAGCCCACCCTAACAAATGCCTGTCATGGCTAAGTTGAGAATAAGTATAGTTTAATCCTTATTTGACATATCTGCATTAATCATACTATACTAGAGAAGTTACCTTTTTGATATCGAATGTGTATTTATCTGAGTTGAAATAATCGCATTTGAAGTATGTGTTTCTTAGAATTTAATGCTTGTTAAATTTGGTCTTTTAACTGTTAGATGTAATAAGCTAATAATAATGTTGCTTTTTGAAAGTAGATGCTAAAATTTGTCAAATTTATGGTAATTCTCAAAATCAAACTTTTGATATATGAGTGTGTAAATTGAAAACCTGGAAGTGAATATTTTTTACAATAGCAAGCTTAATCTCTGATAATATGTAATTTATCAAGAACGTTCAATATATATTATTGAACTACTGAAATTATCAGCAACTAATTTCATTGATAATTCTTAGGGGCTAAATTCACTACTGTGAAACCTAAAATATTTACTTTAGGTTTTCACTCTAACGCACTCATATTATATAAATTAGTCTTCTTATTATTGTTCAAAAAATCAGCTATGTAAAGTTGATTGTGAAATTTTATACAATCAACTTTACTTGTCTTTTTGAAAGATTTATATTAGCACCACTTATTACAGTTTACTAATCCAAATTTTAATAAAATTTTTAGTATAATCGTAAGTATATTTGAAGAGCAAGTTTGAACTTTTGGCTTTTCAATGTAATACTTTCAATATAATATAATAAATTTACCCAAAAGTACTTTCAATAGGTAATATTATATATAGTTAATATAGGATTTTATATATATAAATCTTACTATTGTATCCTCTTGGGATTTGATATTAGATTCATTCATATCTTGACCTATCAAGCAAAACAATTAAATTTGGATTGGAGTATAATTATCTAGACAGTATTTTAAATATATGGTGTTGGTATAGTCCATGACTTGGTAGGTGTTGTGTGTTCCGATAGTATTGGCTCCGGCTTTCTAAAACATGTTTTTTTATAATTTTCATAATTTGCTCAAGCTTATATTTTTTCCATGATCCTAGTCCCGGTAATAATCTAGCAAAAATACATCCTACATCCTCTCCTTCATCTGGTCAAGTCCATTTGTGCCAATTAGAAATTCTATATATTGTTCCTAATTTTTTATTTGCTTTATTTAGTTTAGTTTAATTAATACTTGTATCTGTTATTAAAATTAGAAGCAAAAATATACAAACCTTCACAATTAGGCATGATATTAGTAACATGAGTGCCTGCTAAGTCTTTAATCGCCTCTTGTATTTTCTCACCTGATTCAATATTATGACACATTTTTACCCATCGTTTTATAGCATGCGTTAACTGATCAAATAGTAATAGTTGATTAGGATGTACTACTGTACTAATTATCAAGGTGTTAATAATAGTTATATCCTAAGTAATCAGGTATAAGCAAAAATGAAATTTCTGCTTATATACATACTCAGAGTAAACTGATTTATACTCTGCGATCTGACCAGGGTATAAATGAAATAATATTCCCCTATAAAAAAAGTTAGTTCAATTATTGTAGGCATTGTTTGAAAAAATGTTCGAAATAGTATAATTTTCTGAATTTCAGTACTATATTGTACAATTTTTATACTGTAATATAAAAAAAAAATTTTGGAGTTGACAATATTAGGCCATACAAACTTAATAAATCAGTTCTCATAATATAAAATTTTTAAAAGTGACCCAGCAACCCAGCTTTTTATTTTATTTTCAAAAAATTATATATATAATAAACATATAAAATTTTTTATAGATTTTTTTAATAAACTCACCCGGATAGTAAGTATACTTGAAAATTTTTTTTAGAGTTTTGTAAATTTTGACCTAGCCGGGTTATAAGAACTGATTTATTAAGTTTGTATAGCCTTAGTTATAAATATTGTACAAAATCAGTACAATATATAGTATGTTCAAAAAATTAACTTATTCTGAACATTTTGAATAAAAACAAGAAAATTTTTAGAACATTGCCAATAAAATTTGGACAAAATTTTTTTATAGGATCCCAAGTTACTTCAAACTGAACATAGCTTAAGTCAGAGTAAACTTGAAACAACCTGAAGCAACTTAGACTAAGCTCAAATAGAATCTGAAGCAAGGTTAATTTAATATAGTAGGTTGAAAGTTGGATAAACCAACCAATCCATTAGCAACCCTACTAATTACAAAAATGAAAGTTTATTTATACCTGGGCATGATGCGAATCAATGGCCGTTTTTGCTTTGCCGGCCTCAAGAAAAATTCATTTACGCACTGAAATACCATACCACTTTTTTCAATGAGCTAATATTATCATTAATTCTGTATTGTGATAATGTGGCCCATTATCAGAAAAAATACTAATCCATTTTGG